CTCGAAAGGCCTTCGAAGGCCTTCGACCCGCCCTCGGCGTCCTCTGGCTGCCTTACGCGGTATGGGCCGTCGCCGCCACGTCGACTCGTCGTCGCCGTCGCCGCCGCCGCCGTCGCCGTCGCCGTCGCCGCCGCCGTCGCCGTCGCCGTCGCCGCCGCCGTCGCCATCGCCGCCGCCGTCGCCGCCGCCGTCGCCGTCGCCGTCACCGTCGCCGTCATCGTCATCGGTGTCGTCGTCGCCGCTGTCGGAGAAGATTGAGAAGCAGGGGGCTGAGGAGAAGGGGGAGAGGGGGAGGAGGAGGCACGAACTAAACGTACTCCGCCAAACCACAAACGATCGCGTGGCCAGAAACACAGAATTGCACAACTTCGACGTCCGAAGTTCACGTGTCACCCCTCAACTCACTGCCATGTCGCAGTGGCATCCCAGCATCGGCGCCGCTCTCTACGAAAGAGCGAACCTAACGCTGCGCACACGGCCGTCGGCTGCGCCACCAGAGAAGTCGAGGGTGTCTGCATCTCGGTCGAAGAACACCGATGTCGTGGTTATGATAATCTGAAGGGGCCCCAGAACACACAAATAAATACACACAAATAAACAGACTCCCCATTTTTTCTCATATTTTTGGGGTTTTTGTCTTCCCCCCCACTTCCCATATTCCCCATATTTTCCTGGGAGTCGACGATTAATTGTGTCTGTGTGTGTTTTTCCCCCTCCTGAATCATCATGTACGGCCCCTGGACCTCTCGACCCTCTCTGGGAAGGGGGGGGCAGCCTCCCGGCCTGGACACGTTCCTGCCCCAGGGAGCCCGAAAGCGGCCTCCGGGCACAGAAGGCCAGGAGGAGCTGCGCCTTGGCTTTTGTTTTTCAGGGCATTGGTACAGGAGGAGCTCGACCACAAGAATCGGGGATGGATAGAACCCCCTTTCGTAAAACGTGGTTTCGTGAAAGCGACCTGAGGCCCTTACCTGGCGGGCGCAAGCCTGGAAAACAGCGGCCACGGCGCCCTCTCGAGAACCGAAAACGGACAATTCACTAATCGACGTGTCACTGTTGGGGGTTCTGTCCACCCCCGAAAGAAACCTTCCACAAGAAACCCAACCCTGGGACCCCAGGACGTCCGTTGATTTTTGGCGTGGGAACGTCACGCTTCCCGTGGGAAAGCCATCGAAACCCAAGAAAACCAGGGCACCCAGGAGGCAAGCAGGGTGTTTCTTGACATGGGTTTCCACCGTATGGGTCCTCCTGCCCCGTGTCCCGATAGGCGTCCCCGAAATGAGGACAGAGTGAGTATGCGGAAAATGCCCAACAGCATGCGTTAACCCAAACCGAGGGCAGCTGCTGTTGGCCAGACGACGCCCGTCCTCAATGGACACCGTCCGCAGCGGACACCGCCAACGAATCCTGCTCAAAAATTTTGGTTTTCGCCCCCGTTCTCTCCATCCTCGTTTTCGTCCTCCGGCTGCACGCAAGAGCACCCTGGTGGCCACCAAATTACACAGACGAAGTTTCTGCCCCCTGCAGCCAGCCCTCGGTTCATCAGTTCCAGTGCTGCTCCTCTTTAAGGGGGCCACATGCGAACCCTACCCCTACCCCCAACGATTTCTGAGGGGGGAGTGGGGTCACTTCGCTCGGGGGCTCCCGAACGAAGTGAACCCCACCGTCCCCCGCAGAAATCGTGGGGGGTAGGGGTAGGGTTCGCATGAGGCCCCCTACTTTTCCAAGGTGTCAAATGCTACAAGTCAGTGCTCCCCGTTCCAAGGCTGGAAGATCGTAGTAGAAAACGCGACCCGACAAGAACCCGCTACCAGCCCTGAATCACATTCTGGGAATCTCTGGGTGCCCTGGGACACCTGCGCGCGCCCCGAGCCACAATCACTTGTAAGTGATCGGGGACTCACCGATCCCGGGTCAATCCAGACCCGGGCCAGCCGGGCCCTGCAAGATCCTGCAGGAGCCTGCACCCAAACCTGGGGCAGCGCGCCCCTGGCCCTGCAGGATCCTGCAGGATCTGGCGCTGTGACTGCCCCCCGCTTGTCGGGAGCGGCCAAGAGGGGGGCCTCCAAGGGGGGGGGCTGCAAATCATGGCCGGCGACACGTGCGCGGCCCAGCGGGGGGAGCCAGGGACGTAATGAAATGAGAAGAGGCGCCATGATATCTGACTACCTACCAGACCACCCCAACCCAACCCGAAGGCACGAATTTGACCCGAATTTCGGGTTGGGGGGGGGGTACGGGGACCATGTGTTGTTTCGACGTTCCCCGATCCCCCCCCCACCGGAAATGGAGGGCAAATCGAGGCCTTCGGGTTGGGTTGGGGTGGTTTGGTGGGTGGTGAATATCTAGGGAGCCCACAAAGGACGTACGCGCCTAGCTATGTACATGAACACGGTCCCTTGAAACGCGAGACCGGCCGCGTGATACGAACATTCGAGCCATGCGAACTCTCGAAACCAACGTGGATTCATGTACGTGTACGTCCTTTTTTCGCTCCTGAATA